CTTCCACCACCAACAAGACTACCGTTGTTTTTAATACTTCGTGGTATACCCCATAGCACAAAACACTCCATTTTATGAACATATTTGCGTTGGTGTGTGATCATGTTCTCCTTGAATATAGTTGCGGTGAGGGGTGGTCGAGTAGCCTAGTGGTTAAAGTGTTCGCTCGTCAAGCTGAAGACCCGGGTTCGATTCCCGACATGGGTACAATGTGTGATGCCCATTTCTGGTGTCCCCCGCCCTGATATTGCTGGAATATTGTAAAAGCGGCGTAAAACCATACTCACTCACTCACTCACTAGTTGCGGTGAACAAGTTTGGCCGCACACGAACCCATGGCTAGCATGCGCAATATGGAAAGACTACTCCAACCGGAGTTATCTTCCCTTATTGTAGGTTACATTGAAACATCTTCACTGGATGTAATTCCCTTTGACCAGGTTTAAGTAACTACTGAACTAAACCACCTCAAACAAGTATTTACACGGTATAACCTCTATCCTGAGCAACTAGTACAACAGACGATACAGAACATCACCAAGAAATCTCAGAAATACCCACGTCAAAAGTCTGCACCCTTTGTGATCAGCCTCCCCTACTTTGGAACAGTTAGCCACAAAATCCAGTGACTCTTAAAGAAACAGGCCAACATTGATGTATTTTTCAAGAGAAGTCATACCATTCAGAACACAATTAAAGCCACAGGGAAACCACCATCCAGCCACAAGCTAGAACCATCAGGAGCAGTGTACCACATTCCATGCAATTGTGGACAAGCCTACATAGGAGAAACATCTAGGCCCCTAAAACCCCGAATAAAAGAACACCAAAGCTCAGTCGCCACATGTGACTCTAAATCAGCTCTATCAGACCACATCAGTGACAACCCAAGCCACAGCATCCAGTGGGAGAAAGTCACAGCTCTCACCACCAACCCCAAAGACTTCAAGATCAGGAATCTACAAGAAGCCATCAACATTAAAAGACTCCAGCCGTCAATCAACCGTGACCAAGGCTATTACATACCCCCGGTGTACAATCAACACATCAAAGACCCCAATCAGCCATAATCCCGTTGTTTAAATTACTGGCCGCATCTCTGTTTATGTCAATGACTTCACCGATGATTGTCATCACTACCCTTGGGTGTACATAACAGGCTTCTCTACTCCAGCATAACAATATCTACTCTACTGTATAAACATTGGCTGGTTGGTTGGTTTGTTGTTTAACGCCGCACTTATGCAATCACGCAAGTGGTATACAGAGTGTGGTTGGCAAATATATATACAAGTAGGAGGCAATGTTATACCCGTGAAGATTCCGGGGTAGAATAGGTCTTCAGCAATCCGTGCTTGCCGTGAAAGGTGACTATGCTTGTCGTAAAAAGCGACTAACGGCGATCGGGTGGTCAGGCTCGTTGACTTGGTTGATGCATGTCATTGATCCCAATTGCGTGGATCGATGCTCATGTTGTTAATCACTGGATTGTCTGGTCCAGACTCGATTATTTACAGACCGCCATCATGTAGCTGGAATATTGCTGAGTGCGGCGTTAAACAACCAACCAACCGTTACAAAAGGTAGATATTTAAGTTGGAGATCTGACTTATTCTGTATCTATCAATTTCCAGATTTTGAAGTGGTTGTATGTTCTTAAAGTATTGTCATAGCGACTGATTTATGACTACCATTGTCTGCAGTACATTTGACTTCAAGGGCAATTTACCCTTACTTAATTGTCATTACGTTTTAGGCGCTAATCCCCGTTGTTAATCCTCACCAACATTTCATTGTATTTTGACTGTCAGTCAGCCTGGACTACCATATCACTTCCCTTTAACTACTGCTTTTTATAGTATGGCATTTATTGCCCTAATTGATCATCCCATGAACTGTGTTTGTTAATCACGCCCATATGTCCAAAGCAACGTCGTTGTCTCTTTGTCTGTCCATTGTTGTTCATATACTATATATATCATTGCTACCATTACACAGTTACTACGGTGTTAGTCAGGCTTGGTATTCCGAGTGCTGGCATAGGGACGACCTCGAGCAGGATGTGCTGCTCGTAGGAAACGCCCTGAGGTGAGCTGGAGCTCCGCTCACCTCTTGTACGCCTGAGCTGGAAGGTCCGCTCATCGCTGTGTTTGTGTTGTCAGAGCAGGTATTCCGCTCATTGTGCAATTGTTGTTTATTGTTTACATGTTGTGCATAAAGCGTTCCGGGACAGTGATGTCGATTTTGTCCTTTATTCCCCCAAGAGCTAATTCCCCGTCAACATGCACGTTGACAGTATCATTCAGGATGCTTGAACCTAACTTAAATGGTTACGAAATACAAACAATTAACATCTGCATTGCGAATGTATTCTCTGCTCACATAAATATAATACATCTGCATTAATGGCTACAGTAGAATTGAATGCACTCAAAACTAAACAACAGGCTTAATTTCAATATGTGACGGGTGTTTAAAACTAATATCTAAGACAAAACACATTGGCAATATCTGTCATTGTGTTCCTGCAATCTAACACATTGCTGTAAACTGTGTTAATTGTCCTGCAGAAAAAAAACAACATTGCTTGTTTCAATTTCAGAATCGACAGCAACAGTCGAATTCAAAGCACACTCTAAGTTTCATTATAACAGGATCAAATCAAGGAGTTCATTTTCAATATATCAGATATCGTAACATTTAATTAAAACTTATATGAAGAATAACCCCTGGTGATATATTGGAACCATCTGTATATCCTACAAGCGGAAATAATGCTGTATTGTTTAATTAAGATTCAGAAAGACATTGCAAGTTTCAAATTTCAGAAACGAAGGCCACAGTTGAATTCAATGCTCTAAAATACAGAATAACAGAATTAAAGTGAGTGAGTGGGGGTTAACACCGTTTTTAGGAATATTCCAGCAATATCACGGCAAGGTACACATTCACAACGGGCTTCACACATTCTACCTATGTTTAGAATTGAACCCATTTTGAGCATTTTGGTTGGTTTGTTGTTTAACGCCGCACTCAGCAATATTCCAGCTACATGACGGCGGTCTGTAAAATAATCGAGTCTGGACCAGACAATCCAGTGATCAGGAGCATCGATCCACGCACTTGGGATCGATGGCATGCATCAACCAAGTCAGCGAGCCTGACCACCCAATCCCGTTAGTCGCCTTTTACGACAAGCATGGGTTGCTGAAGACCTGTTCAACCCCGAAATCTTCACGGATCCTTGTAGTAAAGGCCCAGGTACCACATGGGCTACTCTAGGTCAATGGCAACCTATCCTGGTCAAGAGGAAACCAAATGGACTGGATGGTCAGAATTGACAAGATTTGGTCCATTATGTGTCAACGTACCCTGACAAGGTGGATCGTTGTTCACAATACCAATCACTGGATTGTCTGCTCCAGGTTTGATTATTATACAGGCTGGCATCATGACGCTGTAATATTGCTGTGTGTGGCATCATACAACAAAGAAACAAACATTAACCAGCATAACCAAAATCACCCGGGAAGTATACAAAGTTGACATCTCATTGTGGCCAACTGGTTACCAACTGAAATTTGGAATCAAGAGCTGTAGACAAGGCCATACTTTGGATGCAATTAATAATGTAAGTATACCATGTCTTTTGTGATGTTATTAGAAAATATAGGACCCGGATTCGAACCCACAATCATTGGTTTCTGGCGTGCCTAAGGGACGCAACTCTGCACAGCGAATCGCGGCGTCTTAGGCAACTGGGCCATCCGTGTCCCCGACCGTGGTATGAAAGGGACATGACAACTGGTTTTGTGTCAATGCAATAGTCACTTGTAATTATTACCAATTAAAAAAAATATGATGACAATGGCAAACTGAAGCTATTAAGTATATTCAGCTGGATTATGATGCCAGTTAAAAAGTAACGAGTTGAAGATATTTTATGTGAGCTTCTATAATCCATTGTGTATCTTTTAGAATCGTAGAATGTAATGTAGATTATTTAAATGTTTTTTAAGGATTTGTCAATATGAACATCCCAGGTAGTGAATATATGATATGAGCTTGTGTTATTATTCAGTGTGAAACCTGAAACGGTTTGAATAGGTCCGGCACACATTGCTTTTCTTAAAAGGGTTTGTCACCAACCCCAAATTCGTCAAGGCCAGGCGTACTTATTTTCAAGATGCTTTGTTGTTTTTACTGGAGTATAAACGCAGTACTAGAAAACTTTCAGATACCTTCAGCAACCTTCAAATTTCTTGGTATCTTCAACATACTTTTTGTATGTGTTTCACATTTAAGTGAAGAAAATGCACCAAATTTTGACATTTTTTTGGGAAGGTTTCCAGAAGGTTCCCAAAGGTATCCGGGCCGGATCCAAAATGGGTAGGTATCCGGAAGGTATCCGGAAGGTTTCCGGAACACGGAAACCTACACATTTTTTGCTGTGAGTATAAATAATGCCAAAGTTAAATGTTTCTTCGTGGACACTTAATACACACCTGGACATCTTAAAGTTGAGATGATAATTACAAACTGACAGATTAGGTACTAAATGTTCATTCATATTTTCTGCATGCCTCAGTACTGCAAACAAAGAGCCCCCTTTGAAGAAATTGTAGATACATTTCAATAATTAAAGTCACATGCTATATATTTGTAACTGTGTAAATCATACTAAATACACATATAATGTATGTGATGAGATTTCCCTTAGATTGGAATTCAGTTGGGGGGGGTAACATTATTCAAGGTGTATAGTGGAAGGAATATTCCATATAGGAGTATTTCATCACTTGTGTTTCTTCTTTGAGAAGCATTAGGATTTGGAGTACACAGTAAGTATATGACAAATGGATGAACAACTTTATAATTAGGAGCAATGTTTTCGTGTAGGTGATTACAGTGTTAGAACCTACACCAAAACATTGCTCCTAATTGTAATAAAGAAGTTGTTCATCCATATATCTTATCCTTATCCTTGTTTCTGTTCAGAGATGCCACAGAGGAAGAACTGGAGGAAGGCCATGCAGCGACGGATGGAAGAGAAGCGACTGAGGGAGCAACAACGACAGATGGAGGAGTATCGCCTCCCTAAAAATGATGCCGCGGATGGCAGACTCGTTAAAACCTGTTGTGAAACCACAAACTCTGATCATATACTTCAAACTGAAACTATGCCTGACACTATGCCTGACCCAATGCCTGAAAGAATGCCCGACCCAATGCCTGAAACTATGCCTGACCCAACGCCTGACCCAACGCCTGGAACTATGCCTGACCCAACGCCTGGAACTATGCCTGACCCAATGCCTGAAAGAATGCCCGACCCAATGCCTGAAACTATGCCTGACCCAACGCCTGACCCAATGCCTGGAACTATGCCTGGCCCAATGCCTGACACTATGCCTGACCCAACGCCTGACACTATGCCTGACCCAACGCCTGACCCAATGCCTGACACTATGCCTGACCCAATGCCTGACACTATGCCTGACCCAACGCCTGACACTATGCCTGACCCAATGCCTGACACTATGCCTGACCCAATGCCTGACACTATGCCTGACCCAACGACTGACCCAATGCCTGGAACTATGCCTGACCCAGTGCCTGACACTATGCCTGACCCAACGACTGACCCAATGCCTGGAACTATGCCTGACCCAACGCCTGACACTATGCCTGACCCAACGCCTGGAACTATGCCTGACCCAACTCCTGACCCAATGCCTGACCCAACGCCTGACCCAGTGCCTGGAACTATGCCTGACCAAATGCCTGACACTATGCCTGACCCAACGCCTGACCCAATGCCTGACCCAACGCCTGACACTATGCCTGACCCAACGCCTGACACTATGCCTGACCCATTGCCTGAACCTATGCCTGAACCTATGAATGGTACTATGCCTGACCCAACGCCTGAACTTATGCCTGACCCAACGCCTGAACCTATGCCTGACCCAATGCCTTAACCTATGCCTGACCCAACACCTGAAACTATGCCTGGCCCAATGCCTGAACCTATGCCTGACCCAACGCCTGAAACTATGCCTGAACCTATGCCTGACCCAACGCCTGACACTATGCCTGACCCAATGCCTGGAACTATGCCTGACCCAACGACTGAAACTATGCCTGACCGAACGCCTCGAATAGTACACATTACGTTGCTAGAAACTATACCTGGCCCAATGCCTGAAACTATGCCTTACCCAACGACTGAAACTATGCCTGACCGAACGCCTCGAATAGTACACATTACGTTGCTAGAAACTATACCTGGCCCAATGCCTGAAACTATGCCTTACCCAACGACTGAAACTATGCCTGACCGAACGCCTCGAATAGTACACATTACGTTGCTAGAAACTATACCTGGCCCAATGCCTGAAACTATGCCTTACCAAACGCCTGAAACTATGCCTTACCCAACGACTGAAACTATGCCTGACCCAATGCCCGAACATATGCCTGACCCAACGCCTGAAACTATGCCTGACCCAATGCCTGAACCTATGCCTGACCCAACGACTGAAACTATGCCTGACCCAATGCCCGAACATATGCCTGACCCAATGCCTGAAACTATGCCTGACCCAATGCCTGAACCTATGCCTGACCCAACGACTGAAACTATGCCTGACCCAATGCCTGAAACTATGCCTGACCCAATGCCTGAACCTATGCCTGACCCAATGCCTGAAACTATGCCTGACCCAATGCCTGAACCTATGCCTGACCCAACGACTGAAACTATGCCTGACCCAATGCCTGAAACTATGCCTGACCCAATGCCTGAACCTTTGCCTGACCCACGCCTGAAACTATGCCTTACCCATGCCTGAAACTATGCCCGACCGAACGCCTCGAATAGTACACATTACGTTGCTAGAAACGGTTGAAGCGCACATAAAAGTATTTAAACGTTGCAGTAAAGGGTTTCTAATCTCTTTTACAATATTTTAGAGAACTACATAGATGTGTTTGGACATTTTCATTTTTGTTTCTCATGAAACTACGCACATAAGGAATAATAAAAAAAACTTTTTATATCTTTATATAATTTACAAACAAACAAAACATTGATCTTCAATAAAAAATACTCCATTTAAGATAAGATAATGCTCTATTGTCCCGTGGGGAAATTTGGTTTACAGCGGACGATATATCAGCTAAACAAAAATACACAACAGCAATACACGGTATTACAGCAGTTAAGAGAACAATAGCACACATACACGCACTAACGCACGCACTCTCGCACTCACTCACGCACTCACTCACGCACGCACGCACGCACTCACTCGCTCACTCTTTCACTCACTCACGCACTCACTCACGCACTCACTCACTCTTTCACTCACTCACTCACTCACTCACTCTCTCACGCACGCACTCACGCACGCACTCACGCACGCACTCACTCACTCATAAATAAATATGTGAAGTGAACTAAAGTTACAGAAGTAAATTGGGAGAACATAAAACAATACTGATTGTGTAAACTTGACAAGGCCATTTGCTTAACACTAAGTACATAACCTTTCCCCTAGAGGGGTATACGAGTATATTTCCAGTCACTATGTAAACAAAGTTACTGCAACTAAATCTAGCTAATAATGATTTTAAAGAAATAAGTATTGGTAAAGTAAGACAATGAACTCTCAATATGTCGAAGTGACTTGTACCTTTTATAAGTATACGAAATAGATAAATTGCCAATGTACTCACACCATTTTTGCCTTAGATTGTCTGAATGACGAAGCTTAAACCAGGAAGTGTATATATATTGACATCAGGAGACACAAGCCAGCCAGCCATGAACATGGGAACCTATTTTCCTAGAGCTTCGGACTTATTGCTTGGATCTTTGAGAGCGCCAATTATCTAGTTGGCTTCCATTTGCCCATTGCTATGTCCATTCTTTCACCTATCAGTGCTAATTACCCCCGCCTCCCGTTTGCCCATTGTACATTGCCTATTACCTGTCAATGATAGCTTCAATCTCATTAAAATCAGATCTTTGTTCTCGCTACCGCTGAACAAAGATCTGAGGACATCCCATTACGGGTCACGTCAGACCGACCTTGCGCGAACTTTGATCGACCAATGGAATGACCAATCAGAAGGCAGCTTTCTCGTGCTTTACGGCACTAATTTCAAATTGGCGACTTCGCTTCGAAACATATTTTGACAAATTCCGATTAAAAATTTGAAACCTGAACAAAAAACATTCTTGAATGGCTAATAGATGGTCTACATTGTAAGGAGTCAGTCGTTAAACCCGTAACTATCGTTCGGTATACCCCATATTAAAGTTTTCGAGGTTGTATGATTAGAAATCACATTCCGACTGTCACTTTCATAATCTGGTAAGCGACGCACTGATTGGTCGGATGAAAGGTCGGTCTGACGTGACCCCTAATGGGATGTCCTCAGATCTTTGTTTAGCGGTAGCGAGAACTAAGGTCTGATTTTAATGAGATTGTGATAACTTAAGTGCTGGCTTCCATCCTATCTAAGGAAGTTGACATCCATAAATTCCCTTCCTTATGTATATAGTCTTTGTTTAGTCTCCTTGGTTAAACAGTTGCATAAGTAACTTAGAATCACCAACATCTTGAGAACGTCACACATAACCAAAACCAAACTTGAAGCCTTGATAAAATTACCCCTTGTTGTCCGACCTGATTCATCAAGAGATTTTACCATAAGATAAGACTGGTGAGGTAGTCTGAATGAATCTGGATGAATTAGTCTACATCAATTTTTAACCGCCCTTGACATGTACGAGTAAGTGAAATTCAATGGGAATCTCCGACGTTCACTTAGAGTCATGGTGTTGTTTACATCTTTACCAACTCTTAAGTACCATCTTGGTTTGGTACATATACTACTCAAAAGAAGTTAAGGATCACCTGATTCTTTCATATTACTATAGTTAATCTCTCATGCCATGGCAGATTAACTTTACCAATATGAAAGAATCGGGTGATCCTTAACTTCTTTTGAGTAGTATGCTTTGGTTTGGAAGTCTATTTTGCGACAGTGCTATGTTCCCCACACTTCACATCCGTAGCAAATTATTGGAAGAATAATTGTATCAAAGAGTTTGAGTGAGTGAGTGAGTTGGACTTAACGCCGCTTTTAACAGTATTCCAGTTATATCGTGGCGTGTCAGCTTAATGTGGGAGGAAAGCCCCAAGTGATGCAGGTCTCAGACGTTTACCACTTCGGTGAAACCCACGAGCACGGGTATGGTGCTGACAAACCTAGAAACATAATCGGGGCGAACCGGGATTCGAACCCACAATAATAGGTTTCTGGCATGCCCAAGGGACGCAACTCTGCACAGCCATGGTCAAAGAGGGCATTTGAGTGAAAAACATTGCCTAAATACCTATAGAACAACTGTTGACCTTCATAATAAATTTTTTAAAGGACCGCAATGTCTTAAAACAATTATCTTACTTTCATATAGATTAACCCCCATTCCGGTCTGTCTGTAGAATGAATCTAAGCCATCTGACCACATCTTCCGTCACTGGAAGGCTTTGTCAGGCATCCCGGATATAGTGTCCGCAAACAACATGTATTTTACCATTCCTCAATCTGTCAAACAAAACGGCACGATTTACCGTATCGGACGCCTTGGCAAAATCTATAAACTCACAATTTAATCTACCCTTTTTTATTTGCATATGTCTGTAAGATAACAGTCATAGAGAAGCTAACCCGTGAAGATTCGGGAAAGAATAGGTCTTCAGCAAGCCCATACTTGCCCTAAAAGGTGACTATGCTTGTCGTAAAAGGCGACAAAAGGGGTCGGTTTGTCAGGCTCGCTGACTTGGTTAATGCAAGTCATCGTATCCCAATTGCGTGGATTGATGCTCATGATGTCAATCGCTGGATTGTCTGGTCCTGACTCAGTCAACTACGGTTATAACGAACTCTAAGGGATCACTAATATTAGCTCGTTATATCAGTAGTTCGTTGTCGTTGTAAGCATATGTCAGCAAGTATACAGCAAAAGGCCGGGACCCAAACCTAAGTTCGTTATATCCGCCGGTTCGTTATAAGCGTGTTTGTTATAAACGTGGTTTATTGTATTTCAAAGTAATATTCTCACTATTACCTATCTATTCAGTGGTATAACTACTACTACTATTACTATTACTACTACTCCTACTACTACTATACTACTACAACTACTACTACTACTACTACCGTTAAGACCCGGGTTAGAATTTGTCTTCAGCAACCCAAGCTTGTCTTTCGTAAGTGTGCTATTCCAAACCTACAAATCTACACGCCTAACAGCAGCACTGTTGTGACATAAAACAAACAAACTGCAATGTCCTTCTGTAAACATGGCGTCAGTCAACGATTACGGGTGTCAATTTCAGTTGGCCTAGAAAATCGGACGGACTCGCTTTTTCAAGGCCAGCGAACTGTTCCACAACCCGATACTAGGGCTAAGACGATCGTTACTCCCATACGTCAACATAGACGTATGACAGTCGTAGTACTACGGTCGCATTTTAGAACGGGGCCAAGGTCGGACATGTTTGTTTGTGGTTTAACGCCGCACTCAGCAATATTCAATCTATATGACGGCGGTCTGTAAATAATCGAGTCTGGACCAGACAATCCAGTGATTGACATCATGAGCATCGATCCACGCAGTTGGGATACGATGACATGCATCAACCAAGTCAGCTAGCCTGACCATCCGATCTCGTTAGTCTCTTTAGACAATCATAGTCGCCTTTTACGGCAAGCATGGGTTGCTGAAGACCTCCTCTACCCCGGATCTTCACGGGTAGGGTCGGACATGTGCACGCGGTTGTAACTTTCAACATTTTATATATGCTCATGTATAAGCGCATGCCCCACTGTCTAATACTATGAGTGAGTGAGTTGGGTTTAAGACCGTTTTTAACAGTATTCCAGTTAAATCACGGCGTGTCAGCTTAATATGGGAGGAAAGCCCCAAGTGATGCAGGTCTCAGACGTTTACCACTTCGGTGAAATCAACGAGCACGGGTATGGAAACATAATCAGGGCGAACCGGGACTCGAACCCACAATCATAGGTTTCTGCACAGCGAACCGCGGCGCCTTAGACGACTGGGCCACCCGTACCCGCGTCTAATACTATGTGTGCCTGATAAATGTTATTACAATTTGCTATGGTCAACAGCTCCTTAACTATATTTGTGATCAAACTCTGTACATGATATTTTAGAACAAGAAAAAAATGAAAAACAAACATAATATATCAATCATTGTGATGATGATGTTGATGATGATGATGATGATGATGATGATGATGATGGTCGTGGTAGTGGTGGTGGTGACAAGTTTAGTACGTCCGATCTCTGATTAAAATATAACACGTTCTTGCAGTGTGAAGCATTCATGGTTCCTCTTACAATGTAAGAGGCGACAAACGGGATCGGGGGGTCAGGCTCGCTGACTTATGCATGTCGTCGTATCCCACTTGCGTGGATCGATGCTCATGATATCAATCACTGGATTGTCTGGTCCAGACTTGATTACTTACAGACTGCCGTCATATAGCTGGAATATTGCTGAGTGCGGCGTTAAACAATAAACAAACAAACACAATGTAAAATATTCCACTCGGCACAGCGTTTACTTCCCTTTTGGTATATTTTTCTCCATGTAAGGCGTTACAAAGATGGCGTATATGACGAAGCCAGCAATAATCATCTAACCAAACGCAATATAATTGTGTCACCGATGTTCCAGCTATGTTCACAACGGCCTGTAAATAACCGAGTCTGGACCAGACAAACCACTTTCTGAGAGATCAGGGGGCACAGGTGGCCCAGTCGTCTAAGGCGCCGCGATTCGCTGTGCAGAGTTGCGTCCCCTGGACACGCCAGAAACCTATGATTGTAGGTTCGAATCCCGGTTCACCCCGATTATGTTTCTAGGTTTGTCAGCACCATACCCGTGCTCGTGGGTTTCACCGAAGTGGTAAACGTCTGAGACCTGCATCACTTGGGGCTTTCCTCCAAAATTAAGCTGACACGCCACGATATAACTGGAATACTCTTAAAAGCGACGTTTAACCCAACTCACTCATTCACTGAGAGATCAAGGAGCAATCAATGTCGTAGCCGCACAATAACACCAGTCAGACAAGTCCCACGGACTGGTCACCCCATCCACTCTTACAATAAGCATAGGTCACTGCATGGGGTCCAATTCTACCCGGAAACCCCAGAATGAGCTATCAATTGAACACTTGGTGTGTGGTAAGGTCTGTTCCTGACAAGGATATCTTATACAGGAAGCCATATCAGAGAACAGTGGTCATTCCCGTTCCGGCGTTGAGAGGTTCTCAATGAGAGCTTTCCCTTCAACACCACACCGCTCTTATTTCAACCATTCGGCCATACTCGGTAGTTTCCGTGATGTACCGAGGAGACAAAGGCATTCGTCACCACTCGCCCCTTTCCGTAACCTGCAAGAAGACTCGTCCCCCTGTCCATGAATGTTATGTGCGAAAATACGACAAACCAATTAAAATGCGTGTATGACTTCAAGTTCTTCGGTCAAAGAATTCCTCAGGAAACTTTTTGATTTTACTTATGTCTTGCATCTAAAAGTATACCCAAGACAGCTAAATGTGTTCAATAATATTGTATAATTCCGCATGTCCCGATGTGCTTTAAAATGCATCTGAAATATATATAATATATGGGGAAATACATGTGAACCATTACGCAACGAGTTGACAATTGTTTCAGGTATACCCGTCTGCGCTAAGACGGAACCCGGTCGCAAAAATGGCCAAGAGAGGGGCACGAGTGAAGTAATTACGTATAAAATTAAGTTGCATGAGGAAATATGCTTGGTAGTAAATAAAATCACGTGATAAGGGCGTGACATACACAACATCCGTGCGGGGAATACATGCAATTATCACAATGATAGCACCTAGACACGGCTGTTGTTAATTTGAATTTCGTATATTATTTGGTAGCAGTTAAGTCTTTTACGTCGGATAAATAACGTAATTCCTTCAGTTTTAAACCTGAAGGTGCAGACATCCACATCAGATTGTTACTGCTAATCCTCCACCTGCCATATATATTCTGTACCATGTTCATTATTTAGCCATTCTTGACAACGGTGTAGGGATCTATATCGAAACGTCGCCATTAAAGTAAAAATAAAGAAGCTGTTATCCATAAATTGTTTCCACTTTGTCATCCGTCAACTTCTAAGAAATGCCTTTAAATTCCTGTTTGTGCAGATTTATAAATGAATAGTCTGTTCAGAAATATGCTCACAATCCAGAGGTGAGAATAAATGAATAGTTTGTTTTATGGAAAATACCATGACGTCAATTTTTTTGGTGTAAAGGTGCAACATTAATAGATTTTTTATGGAAATAAGTTTGGTAGTAAATAAATAATGTGTTGGATACAGCTGGGGAAAACAGATTGTTCTTAGCACACGCACCCCAAGAAAAAGACCAGGTGTAAGAGTAATGTAATACAAAACATTATAACCACTCGAATCCTAATTCGGAACGACACACACACGTACGCATAATTACTAATCTCAACCCGTGAAGATCCGGGGTAGAATAGGTCTCAAGCAAACCATGCTTGCCGTTAAAGGCGGACCCGTGAAGATCCGGGGTAGAATAGGTCTTCAGCAACCCATGCTTGCCGTAAAAGGCGGACGCGTGAAGATCCGGGGTAGAATAGGTCTTCAACAACATTGCTTGCCGTAAAAGGCGGACCCGTGAAGATCCGGGGTAGAATATAGCTCTTCAGCAACCCATGCTTGCCGTGAAAAGCGACTATTCTTGTCGTAAGAGGCGACTAACGGGATCGGGTGGTCAGGCTCGCTGACTTGGTTGATGCATGTCATCATATCCCAAATGCATGGATCGATGCTGATGACGTCAATCACTGGATTGTCTGGTCCAGTCTCCATTATTTACAGATCGTCGTCATATAGCTGGAATATAGCTGAGTGCGGCGTTAAACAACAACTGAGTTATGTCCCTTTGTAATTATGCGGCAAACAGACAATAAATAACAACAAACTAATCTCAGTTTATGTTCCAATGTTACATGCATACTGAACCAGTGACGGTGAGGCATGTTTATTTGAAAGTGTACATAATAAACAAACTGGAAACATGCTCTCTGGCATTAATAAATATAACGTTGGAAACGGGGCAGTTGGATGAAATATCCAGAAAAAAATGGATTAAAAAAATAATATTATCAAAAGTAGTGAGTGAGTGAGTGAGTATGGTTTTACGCCGCCTTCGGCAATATTCCAGCAATATCACGGCGGGGGACACCAGAAATGGGCTTCACACGTTGTACCCACGTCGGGAATCTAACCCGGGTCTTTGGCGTGACGAGTGAACGCTTTAACCACTAGGCTACCTGACCGCCCCTTGCCAAAAGTAAATGAACCAACGTCCCCATTCATCAGATTCTGCTGGTACAGCAACACATCAGGGGCGGTGGGGTAGCCTAGTGGTTAAAGCGTTGGCTCGCCATGACGAAGACCCGGGTTCGATTCTCCACATGGGCACAATGTGTGAAGCCCATTTTCCGGTGTCCCCAGTCGTGATATTGCTGGAATATTGCTAAAAGCGGTGTAAAACCATACTCACTCACTCAAAATAGTACTTTTTCTTTGAAGATTTACAGTGTTCTGCTGTCTTTTCTGGGTTTATGAGCTATACAAATATTTTTGTTATTTCAAATTAAAAACTAAAATAGATATATACATTTTGTTTTGTGGTGAAAGGTTTGTTTATTCTTATCCCCGTGATATATATATGTTTGTTTGTTTGTTGTTAAACCCCGCACTCAGCAATACTCCAGCTATATGACTGCGGTCTGTAAATAATCGAGTCAGGACCAGATAATCCAGTGATTGACAGCATGAGCATCGATCCACGCAATTGGGATACGATGATATGTATCAACCAAGTCAGCAAGCCTGACCATCTGATCCCGTTACGACAAGCACAGTCAATCGACTTTTATGGCAAGCAAGGGTTTCTGAAGACCTATTCTATCCCGGACCTTTACGGGACCGTGAGGGGGCACGGGTGGCCCAGTCGTCTAAGGCGCCGCAATTCGCTGTGCAGAGTTGCGTCCCTTGGGCACGCCAGAAACCTATGATTGTGGGTTCGAATCCCGGTTCGCCCCGATTATGTTTCTAGGTTTGTCAGCACCCTACCCGTGCTCGTGGGTTTCACCGAAGTGGTAAACGTCTGAGACCTGCATCACTTCGGGCTTTCCTCCCACAATAAGCTGACACGCCGTGATATAACTGGAATACTGTTAAAAGCGGCGTTAACCCCAACTCACTCACTCACTCACTACGGGACCGTGAGAAATGTACATTAGTTTGCAAGGGGAAATGACGTGTAACATGCATGGTAACCTTTTGTTTGACCCCACTTCCCATATAAACATATTCAATCCACACCATACAGTTACCACTAAGAAGTTTGATGTCTACAGTTACAAAATTGCTTAAGTCATATAAACCATATCATTTTTAGAATTAGTTATCAATAAATTATATATTAAAATTCAGACATTTTGACTTTGGATATACAGTATTCGATCACAGATGTTCAATTTCTTAATATTTGGTATTATGATAACTCTAATTATAACTATTTATACAAAATGACGTCACAATTAAAGTATAAAGTATTCAACAGCACAAGTTGAAATATGTACAGACATGCGTGTCTCTCTAAATTAAGTGACTCTGCGGCCTGATGTAGCCTATATTAAATATTATACAATCTGTCATGTCTGTCTCCCTAAATAACAAACAACACTTAATGTTGACGGTCATGCATTCATCTAATAATAGGTATTACCGGTCATGAAGGTTTACGAGTAATATCACAACACAGGTGAATATATGGTCCGATCTCTGATTAATATAAAACAGGCTCCTTACAGGGACTTGCGGTGTGTGAAGCTTTAGGGTTTCTGTCACAATGCAAAAGATTTCACTCGACACAGCGGTTACTTCCCCTTTGTACATTTTTCTCCACAGAAGTCACGTAAAGCTGGTGTTAAGTTAGCCAGGTTTACAAATAACATTCGAGTGTCGTGCGAGCGGCGGTTGCGAATGAGAAAATGGCTGGGGGGTCGCAATCGTTTCAGAAAAGGTAAGAGCTTGTCCTTTTAGTTTTATGAATTAAAAGTGTCTAAATGTCTCTCCATAATCTGTGGCGTATCAGTCATGTACATCGTTTTCGTCTGCGGTATCTTCGCCCTGCCTCCCCGATTGGTACTATTTACGTGAGTACTTGCAACGAGTCGTGATGCGAGTGGTGTTCTGCCGATCGATGTGTTTGAATCACTCTAATGGTTGTGGGGCGTATATATACATATCTGTCTAGCCTTCTGCGTGTTGACGGATGGGGCTGACGATAATATCTTACATGATGATCTGTTGAATTATTATTGATACCAATTAAAGTGTTTATGATTTATTAACTCATTTATGTATTTGACTATCATTGATCAGGAAGATCATGGTGTTGATTTCATGATGATGTTGATGATTATTATTTCTTAATTCATCCCTCAAATACAATTTTGTGAGAGTTTGTGTCATGTAAATATTATTATATACTGTGAAAGTGACTTTATTTGATGGTTAAATCATTCCATCATTTGTGTCATTGAGTCATTGAGTGAGTCACAGCAGTTTGTAGATCTGCATGAAACTCATGTGTATCTATATCCACTACAAATAAACCATACCGTATTCAACGTAATAAGCGCCCCGCTCTAAAAAGCGCCCACGGCGACATTTGCTAATATATTGGCTATTGAACAATCCCAATTAGCAACCCTTCCGATTGATCAATGTACACAAGACTTATTTATTCGTGTATAATACGCATTCATGTGTTATATGCACCCTTAATTATGGGCAATTAAATTCTGGAAAAATATATCTGTCTTACATAAACACTTCAGGCTGTCAGCATAAACCACGAAATTTATCTTTCACCAAAATAATATTCTAATAAGAGCCCCCTAATTCTAATTTTGAGAGCGCCCTGGGCGTTTATTACGTCGAATACGTTATATGCAAATTCGAAGTTATCTTTCCCGACAGTGTTCTCATATGTTGCGCAGATCTTTAATGCCTGATTTGATACCTCTCTGTATGAAGATATTGCGACCCTCAGAGGTCAAGCTGGTAAACCCTGAGTTAACACAAGCCACCAAAACAAAATGAAGGATGCATTTTCAAGCCAAGCATCTGTTTACAATTTGCCTTCATTGTCACCCTGAAAGTCTTATGACTATTGAAAAATGCAAGTGAAACAACAGTGTGTGAAATACCAACAACATATTAGCGCTAACTTTTATTATTCTCCATTCAGAACTACCTGTGTGCATTCAATAATGCCACACAAACATCAGATATGCTGCTCTGAATGCTTCACTGAACCAAGCTGATTGGTCTATTAGAAAATACAGGGTACAACTGTAACATCTTGAAGTAGAGAAGTATCGAATCGGAGTGAAACGTGATGAGTATGCATAAAGTTGGGTTAAACGTCACGTTCAAGATTATTGCACTTATATAGTGACGTGCATGCACATGTGTGTGTGTGGCTGTTTCTACTAGTCCGAACAAATGGTGGTTTATAGTGCTAGCCCACTGAGCTACCATGCCGCAGTTTAACATGAATACCCCTCTCAGACACAGTGTACTGACGCCAAGCCGACCAGTCCTTGTTTTAGCCCCTTAATGCCAAGCGCCAGACAGGGTAACAACAAGTACCATCTTTTGACGTCTTTTGGTATGACGCTAGACCACGGAGGTGTTCACACAGTTAACAGACAAATGTGCTGATATTATTGTGTTTAATTCGATAAGGCTGAGAGTGGTGAAATGTCAAAAAAAAGAATATTGCCTCATGCACAGTGGGATTTGTTGGATGATAAATTGACGATGACATTCTTATTCACCACCATTGACAGCCTGTCTGCACATGCGTTTAATGAGTTCAGTATAAAATGCAAACAAACAAACAAACAAACACAGACCTATGTTGTGTGGATATTTAAGTGTCAGACACAAATTTGATATGCTCTTGATGCATGAAGACATAAATATTAGGTTTCACTTTTTTAATAATGGGTTGCACTGGTGGATGTTTTAGTCATCATATCCTTGTGTGTGTGTTGTGTGTTGTGTGTTCTGGATGTGTGTGTTGTGTGTTGTGTGTTCTGGATGTGTGTGTTGTGTGTTCTGGATGTGTGTGTTTGTAGTGTTTGTTTTGTTTAACGCCGCACTCAGCAATATTCCAGCTATATGACGGCGGGCTATAAATTATCAAGTCTGGACCAGACAATCATGACTGACATCATGACCATTGATCAACACAGTTGGGATACGATGACATGCATCTACCAAGTCAGCGAGCCTGACCACCCGATCCCGTTAGTCGCCTCTTACGACAAGCATAGTCCCTTTTTATGACAAGCATGGGTTGCTGGAGACCTTTTCTACCCAGATCTTCATGGGTCGTGTGTTTGTAGCGACAAGTCTAGTTGTCTCTAGTACAGTTACGACAGTAACTCTTTGCAACATGGAGTTTAGAATTTTCTAAAGCTGTTACATGAATAATCCATAGTGTCATGATCAGCCGTGCATGTTCTTTTTTGTCTTTTTACTGGTAGACTGTCAAGCCCTCAGTTTTCACATTATCCTGTAATATGCATCAGGCGTGTCACTCCTGTGATCAATATCACCTCAATTCATGTTTTCATTGATCTTGCACCCATAGTTTTCCTAATGGAGCACGTCAGTTTCAGATACTGCTTTCCATAAAGCTGCTCCTGAGGCAGTAAGAAAGGCTACAAGTCAAACTCACTTAGGAAGGCACATACCGTATTCGACGTAATAAGCACCCCGCTCTAATAAGCGCCCACGGTGATATTATTATTATACTGTGAAAGTGACTTTATTTGATGGTTAAATCATTCCATCATTTGTGTCATTGAGTCATTGAGTGAGTCACAGCAGTTTGTAGATCTGCATGAAACTCATGTGTATCAATATCCACTACAAATATACCATACCGTATTCAACGTAATAAGCGCCCCGCTCTAAAAAGCGCCCACGGCCACATTTGCTAATATATTGGCAAGTGAACAGTCCCAATTAGCACCCCTTCCGATTGATCAATGTACACAAGACTTATTTATTCGTGTATAATACGCACTCATGTGTTATATGCACCCTTAATTATGGGCAATTAAATTCTGGAAAAATATATCTGTCGTATATAAACAGTCAGGCAGTCAGCATAAACCACGAAATTTATCTTTCACTTCTGTTTTTTCCGCCAACATAATATTCTAATAAGAGCCCCCTATTTCTAATTTTGAGAGCGCCCTGGGTGCTTATTACGTCGAATACAGTAGTTCATATCTCCTTGAAACACATCAGTGTCCCGAAACTGTCAGTATCACGCACAGCCTCAATTATCCAGTGTATACATCTCTCCATTCTATTTTGACAAATAATTTGGACCCATTTGCAACCATAGCTTCTTTTTGAGTCCGGTTGAATGACACAGCGCTAAAATAGCCTTCCAATCGTATGACACAGTTCTTACATGATTGAAACAACTGGCTATTTGACAGTACTCACTTCGCCTTGTGGAATGCTTTCTCACTGTCAACAGGGGATGCCATACAACATCCCGTTATCTTAATGCACCAGGGGGCAAGGGGGCCCCAGTCGTCTAAGGCGCCACCATTCGCTGAGCAGAGTTACGTCCCTTGGGCACGCAAGAAACCTATGATTGTGGGTTTGAATCCCGGTTTGCCCCGATTAAGTTTCTAGGTTTGTCAGCACCATACCCCTGCTCGTGGGTTTCACCGAAGTGGTAAACGTCTGAGACCTGCATCACTTCGGGCTTTCCTCCCATGTTAAGCTGACATGCTGTGATGTAACTGGAATACCGTTAAAAGCGGCGTTAAACCCAACTCATTCACTTATTCACTCTTATTGCACCAGAAAACATTTTTCCTGTTCAAAGATTATTGTGACCTTAGGAGCCATTTTGACTTATCATTATATGTTATAACTATAGTATCTTCGGAACACAAAAATACAATTCACAAACTTCAATTCTTTTTTACTGTATTCAACGTAATACGCGCCCAGGGCGCTCTCAGAATTAGAAATAGGGGGCTCTTATTAGAATATTATTTTGGTGGGAAAAACATGAGTTGAAAGATAAATTTTGTGGTTTATGCTGACAGCCTGAAATGTTTATATACAACAGATATATTTTTCCAGAATTTAATTGCCCATAATTGAGTGTGTATTATACACGAATAAATAAGTCTTGTGTACATTGATCACTCGGAAGGGGTGATAATTGGGATTGTTCACTAGCCAATATTTTAGCATATATCACCGTGGGGGCTTATTAGAGCGGGGCGCTTATTACGTCGAATACGGTAAGGGACCTTTGGGGTCCAAAATTTCATTCTGACTTTTCATTATATTTTATAACTATAGTATCTTTGGACACCAGAATACAATTCACAAGCTTCAATTCTTATTTATTGCAGAGATTCATGGCATCAAACATTTGGACTCATTTTCCAACTTATAACTGTTTATGTATTATTACTAATAAATACCATTTTTAGATATAGACAAGAGAGATGGTGCTGATTAAGTAGGACTGGCTGTCGATATATAGCTCATAGAGATAATAATCGCTAACTAAATATTGATCAATTATCGATAAATATTGGAGAAGTACCTTTAAGCAAATATGCATGAAAATCCTGAAGGAAATCAACATATTTCACGCTACTGGTGAGCAGTGACACATATATATGCATAGATTACTTTGTGGACGTTTGAGATATGTAACAATTGCTTTTCGTCTTCAACATTTGACATGAATGACAATAACAAGTCTGTTTCCATAAATCTAAACTTTTTTCACCACGATTAAGTTCATGTAAGTCATTATCGTTGACAACAACAGTGATTTTGACACAAAATTCTGTATATTGGTCAATGACTTGGACCCAGGAAACGTAATAAGTCAATGGCAAAAGTCAACAAGTCAAACCAACAAAAATGATACATAGACAGTGCTGCTCAAAATTT